TGGTGTTGTCCTCAGCGGGTGCCCGGGGAGGGCCGGCAGAAGCCGGCGGAAGTAGCGTCGGGAGCCTTGAGACAGGGGTCAATGCAAACGGGGGCCAGCCAGCGCGCCCGATCTTGCAGGATCCTGCAGGGCCAGGGTCGCATTGACCCGGGCTTGGGTGCAGGACCTTGCAGGTTCTTGCAGGATGCTTCGCATTGACCCAGGCTTGGGTGCAGGAAATTGCAGGGTCTGGCAGGATTCTGCAAGGCCTGGCCGACCCGGGTCTGGATTGACCCGGGTCAGAATATCCACCGTAATTTTGTTTCAAACCTGTGATTTCAGCGACCGCAGCAGCAACGGCAGCAACAACAACTAAGCAGACGCACTGTTTCTGAGGTCCCCACGGGATATTTGAGAGCTCGAGTGGGGTGGTGGAGATGAGCTGTGATCCACCGCCGCGTTATGTGGAAAATTGCCAAACCTTTTCCTTCCGGAACACGTGGGGGGTCGCCACCCCCCCCCCCCCCCCCCCCCCCCCCCCCCCCCCCCCCCCCCCCACCCCCCCCCCCCCCCCCCCCCCCCCCCCCCCCCCCCCCCTCCCCCCCACCCCCCCCCCCTCCGAAAATCCCCCCCCTGCTGGAACCCCCTCCCCCCCCCCCCCCTTTCCCCGGAGAAAACCCCCCAATCCCCTAAACCCCTACCCCCCCGCCCCCCTCTCCCTCCCCGCTCGAAAACGGGGGGGGGTCACTACCGGTTCGAACCCTCCCCCCCCCCCCCCCCCCCCCCCCTCATGATCGAAAACCGGGGGGGCGTCACTAACCGGTTCGAACGCCCCCTCCCCACCCCCCCCCCCCCCCCCCCCCCCCCCCCCCCCCCACCCCCCCCCCCCCCCTACTCACCGCCAGCAAACGACTCCCGGTCCCCACCACCGTCCGCATCACATCCCCCACTGGTGTTCCCAGCACCACTGTCCTCACCACCGCTGTCCCCACTGGTTCCACCACCGCCCTACTGTCCCCACCAGTGGCCCCACCACTGTCGCACTGTCCCCGCTGTCCCCAGAACTGTTCCCACCACGGTTCCACTCTCCCCACTGTCTCCACGGCCCCAACCACTGCCCGACTATCCCCACTGTCCCCACTGTCCCACTGACTCCTCCGCTGTCCCACTGAGCTGTCCCACTGTTCCCACCACTGTCCCCACTGTCCCCACCACTGCCCCCACTGTACCTCTGTCCCATTGTCCCACCGCCGTCCTCGCCACCGCCTTCACCACTGTCCCCACCACCATTGTACCCTCCACTGTCCCACTGTTTCCACCTCATTCCCATTGTCCCCACACCACTGTCCCCACCACCACCGTCACCACCACTGTCCACTGTCCCCCCCTGTTCCCACCATTGTCCCCACCACTGTCCCCACCACTACCGTCCCCACCACTGTCCCACTGTCCCACTGTCCCCACAACTGTCCCGCTATCCCCTCACCACTGTCCCCACCAACACCGTCCCCACCACTGTCCGCACCCCCACTCGGTTTTCGAGGGGGGGGGGGGGTTCGAACCGGTAGTGACCCCCCCCGGTTTTCGAGGGGGGGGGGGGAAGGGGTTCGAACCGGTAGTGACACCCCCCCCTTTTCATGATGAGCTGGGGGGGGGGGGGGGGCCGCGGGGGGGAGGGGGGGGGAGGGGTTCGAAACCGGTTGGTTAGTGACCCCCCCGGTTCTTTTTTTTTCGGGAGAAGGGGGGGGGGGGGAGGGGTTCGAACCGGTAGTGACCCCCCCCGGTTTTCCGCCAGCAGCGGTAGAACACGCTCTTTCGGATATTTGGAACGGCGATGTTCCCTGGTACGGGGACGCGGGTGCCCACTGCGCGCAAAGGACGATTTGTCCTCTCGTTGTCTTCTCCTCACCTGGCTGTCAGCAATGTAAGTCACGCGTCCATACGGGCATGTTTTCTTGTGTCCGTATTGCCAACGTGCCCATGATCGCGTTTTATGTTTGGGGCTTGCTTTGTCCGCAACACGTGTATAATTCCGATGACCAGGGCGGGCGCGACCCCAAGTATTTCATCTCTCTTTGAAACGCAAGCTAAGAGCATGCGTCCCGATGCTGTCAATGTTCCACACTGCTGTGCAATGCCGCCATGGAATGCGAAAGGAAAACTTTTAACTGTGCTGCAACCCGATGCAACACCAGGCATGTCCATCCATAACTTTCAGTCCTCGTGACAGCCACGCATGCAGAACGACTCGAAGCAACGCATGAGGATGCAGTTCAAGGCAGAGGATGACACCACAAAGGCATGCAAGGGAATGATACGCCACGCATCGCGAATGCAATGCAACACGCTACGATAGGATACCAACGTGTGTAGCGCAACGCCTTGCAGCGCACTGAAGTACAGCACTCGTCAATGGACCTGTCAATTGCAAGTCGATGCAAATCTACGCGATGCAACACAGTTCAACACAGTGCATTGCACCCTAAACCACGCGAAAGCAACGCAGTGCGATGTGATGCAATGCCACGCGCTTCCAAATAGTTCAATTCGTACGCGTGTAATGCAATGCGAACGCAATGCCGATGGCATGACAAACGAAGGAGGATCGGGATGAGGAGGAGGAGGATGAGAAGAAGGAGGACATGTAGAGGGACGACCAGGCGGGCTGGAAGAGGGAAGATGCGGGGATTGAAGGATGGATGATGTAAGATGCGGGGAGGGACAGAGGGAGGGAGGAACGGGGGAGATGGGAGGGAGTAGGAGGAGGAGGAGGACGAAGGGCAGTAGCAGGTGAGACATCTACGGAGTGGTGCAGATGAGGGAAGGGAGGATGCGGGGATGAGGATGATGATGATGATGATGATGATGATGATGATGATGATGATGATGATGATGATGATGATGATGATGTTGATGATGACCATGATGATAGTGAGGCTGATGATGCTAATGATGCTGACCATGATGCTGATGCTGATGATGATGGTGCTGATGCTGATGGTGATTCTGATGATGATAATGCTGATGCTGATGCTGATGGTGATGATGCTGATGCTGATGATGATGCTGATGACGATGATGACGATACTGATGCTGCTGACGATGATACTGCTGATGACGATGCTGCCTATTGGTGATGATGATGCTGATGCTCATGATGCTGATGCTGCTGCTTCTGATGATGACGATGACGATGTTGATGATAGTAAGGTTGATTGTGATCATTCGTATGCTGATGCTGAGTCTGCTCTTGATGGCGATGATGCTGAGGATGACGATCCTGATGCTGGTGATGCTGATGCTGCCGATGATGATGCTGCTGATGCTGATGCTTATGATCATGCTGATGCTGATGATAATGAGGCTGACGCTGCTGATCATGCTGATGGTGCTGATGATGCTGCTGATGATGATGCTACTAATGCTGATGACACTGATGGTGCCTATTGGTGATGCTGATGATGATGACGATGATGCTGATGATGATGATGATGATGATGACGACGATGACGACGACGACGACCATGATGAAGCTGATGCTCATTGTGATGCTGTTGATGATGATGATGATGAAGATGATGATGATGATGATGCTGATGATGATGATGATGATGCTGATGTCGATCATGCTACTGCTGATGCTGATGCGGATGGCGCGAATGCTGATGATGCCGATGATTGTGGGGCTGATTACTCTATACTGATGATGATGATGATGATGATGATGATGATGATGATGATGATGAGGATGATGATGCTGAGAATGATGATGCTGGCGATGCTGATGATGATGATGATGATGCTGATGATGATGCTGATGATGGTGCTGATGCTGATGCTGATGCTGATGCTGATGCTGACGCTGATGCTGCTGATGAGTCAGCTGCTGTTGGCATCGATGCTCATTATGACGATGCTGATGATGTCGATGCTGATGCTGGTGATGACTATAATGATGATGTTCATGCTTATGCTGATGATGCTGATGATGCTGATGATGCTGCTGCTGATGATGCTGATGCTGATGAGGATGATGCTGCTCATGATGATGATGCTGATGATGATGATGCTGATGCTGATGATGATGATGCTGATGTTGCTGATGCTGCTAGTAATGATGATGCTGACGACGCTGCCGATTTTGCTGCTGAGGCTGACGACGCTGCTGATGATGCTAATGATGGTGATGATGAGGATGCTGATACTGATGCTGATGCTGCTGATGAGGCTGATGATGTTGCTGATGATGTTGATGGTTATTATTATGGTGATGATCATGATGATGCTGATGATGCTGCTGATGATATTGATGATGATGATGACGCTGATTGTATAATGACGGTGCTGATGAGGAGGATGAGGTGGTGGAGGCGGATGAGGAGGATGCGGAGGAGGATGAGGAGAAGGAGGTGCAGGAGGAGGAGGAGGAGGAGGAGGAGGAGGAGGAGAGGAGGAGGGGGAGGAGGGAGAGGAAGATGAGGATCAGGAGGACAAGGAGGAGATGGAGGAGGAGGAGGATAAGGAGGAGGAGATACGCGACGGACGGGGGTTGGGGGGAGGGTGGGTGGTGGGGGGGGGGGGTGGGGGGGGGGGAGGAAGAGGTGGAGGTGGAGGAGGAGGAGGAGGAGGAGGAGGATGAGGGGGAGGAAACCAAGAGGATGCTGATGCTGATGCTGATGCTGCTGCTGCTGATGATGATGAGGATGCTGCTGATGATGCTGATGATGAGGATGCTGATGATGATGCTGATGATGCTGATGATGATGATGATGATGATGATGATGATGATGATGATGATGATGATGCTGTTGTTGATGTTGATGATGCTGCTGCTGCTGCTGCTGCTGCTGATGATTATGCTGCTGCTGATGATGATGCTGATGATGATGAGGAGGAGGAGGAGGAGGAGGAGGAGAGGAGGATGAGGAGCGGATGGCGGAGGAGGAGGAGGAGGAGCAAGGAGGACTTCTCTCCTCCCCTTGTGGTCGCTCCGCTCCTCCCCCCCCCACACCCGCGGGCAGGCTCGAGGGTAGCCCCCCCGACGAGGCGGCCCGCTACGTCGTCGAGGTCACCGCCCCCCCGCGCCCCCCCGCGCGCCGCCTGCCTGCTCCCACCCCCGCCGCGGCCGTGGGGCCTGAGGCGTCGCTGAGGGCCTTCTGTTGGGCCTCGCTCCAGCTTCCTCCTCCTCCTCCTCCTCCTTTTTCGACCTCCTCATCCTCTATCTCTTCCCTCCTGCCTCCTCCTCCCTCCTCCATCTCCTCCTCCTCCTCCCTCCTCCTCCGCCTCCTCCTCCTCCTCCTTCTCCTCCTTTTCCTCCCTCCTCCCCCTCCTCACTCCTGATCCTCCGCCCTCCTCCTCCTCCTCCTTCTCCTCCTCCTCCTCCTCCTCCTCCTCTGCCATCTCCTCCCTCCTCCCTCCTCTCTGCACCCCCCTCTTCCTCCATCTCCTTCCTCCTTCCCCCTCCTCCCTACTCCTCCCGCCCTCCCCGCTTTCCGTCTCACATGGCGAGTCGAACACACATGATGTGTTCTCCCCAGAGTACCGTGGTCCCTCCCTCTCATCCTCATTCTCGTCCTCCTTCCTCTTCCTCCCTCCGCCACCTACTCCTGCTCCGAGCCCGCGGCCTTGCCCTGCCCTGCTCTAAACACAACAAGGGCTCGCGGCGAGTGTCCCGACGGCGGCGCTGATTTCGATCCGCCTCCCCGCCGCCCGCTACTGCGCCCCCGAATCGCTCTTTCCTCGCGGTGTCTCCGCCCCCCTCCCTGAGGAGAGATGAGGGGGATTGAGGAATGAAGGGTCAGAGGGAATGAGGAGGAGGATGAGGAGGATGAGGAAGATGGGGAGGAGGAGGAGGAGGACGAGGAGTAGTAGGAGGAGGAGGAGGCGGAGGCGGAGTCGGAGGCGGAGGCGGAGGCGGAGGCGGAGGAGGAGGAGGAGGAGGAGGAGGAGGAGGAGGAGGAGGAGGAGGAGGAGGAGGAGGAGAAGGCGAGGCGGAGGAGGAGAACGAGGAGGAGGAGGATGAGGCAGAGGAGGATGAGGAGGAGGAGGAGGAGGAGGAGGAGGAGGTTGAGGAGGAGGATGAGGAGGAGGAGGAGGAAGAGGACGAGGAGGAAGAGGAGGAGGAGGAAGAGGAAAAGGAAGGTGCGGAGGCGGAGGAGGAGAGGAGGAGGAGGAGGAACAGAGGAGGGCAGCGGCCCCCAGGTGGAGTTCGAGGGCCCTGGCGCCTGCAGGCCAAGTCCGCCCGCCGCTCCTCTTCTCCTCCCCGCGCCGCCCTGGTGGTACGTCGGGCCTGCCCCTCCACAGGAGGAATATTCCCAAATGGTCAAGCATTATCTGTTTTTTTGCTTGCTTGTTTTTTCCCTGTGACTATCTTTGGGCATTTTTTGTTTGGGGGGGTAGGTTTAGTTTTTCGTCCAGGATCCGCCTGTAGGGGGACATGTCCGACCCAACCCTGGTGCTGGCGCACGGCGCCGCCGACGGGGGCGGCAGCGGCCACGACGACGACGTGTGTGACGGCGGGTCGGGTTGGCAGGGCACGCAAGCCAGAGATCTTGGCGTGCTAATGTGTTCGAGCTGGGCGCTCCCTTTTTTTTCTGGGCCCGGGACGCTCGCAGATCGATCCGGCTCGTAAAACGGCGCAGGAACACGGAGTCTAGGGCTCCGGGCGTTATTTTCTTCGAGCACTTGTTTCCCTGCGTTGGATCTCAGGGAAGTTGGCGGGGCGGGCGAGCGGGCGGGGCCGACAGCGACGTCTGCAGCGACGCCGGCATCGCCGCTGCCGCCGTCGCCGCCGTCGCCGTCGTCGGATTCCTCACCCGTCCAGGAACGGGGGGGGGTGGCTCCGCGGGTCGAGGGGGGTTGGGGAGGTGCGCGAGAGCCGCCTGGGGCACAGCCGAGGTGCAGCAGCGCAGAGGTACAGAGGAGACCCATGCCAAGAAAGACCCTGCTTGCCTCCAGGGTGCCCCGGCTTTCCTGGGTTTCGATGGTTTTGCGATGGAGAGCGTGCCGTTGCCACACCAGGGTTTCTTGTGGACTGGCCTTCACTGTAAGGGCGCCTGGGCGCTGGGCCCCAGTCAGGCAGAGCCAGGTTCCCGGCCTGAAGCCGCGGAGCACCCAGGCTTCCCCAGCAGTCACGGAGGCTTGCTCAACGTGTGCGCCATTTGGGTGCACCCTTCGTGCTGAGGGACTGAGGAGGGCCAGGCGAACAATGACCCTGCCCCCCCACGTGTAATCTGAACAGAAATATAGCCAAAGTCCAGCGGACCCCACCTGGGCTCTCGTACATCTTTGCGCGTTCTTTTTTCCTTGCGGCTGGCTTTTTGGAATGCGCGGTTCGCGTGGCTTTTTGGCTGCGGTCTTCGGGGTTCTCTCTCGCTTCGGGAGGGCTGTCCCGCGGCGGGGCTGCGGCTGCGCGAGCGCCGTGCCACTCCCGGCTTTTCTTTGGGGTCCCTTCGACGCGCGCTCGCCTGGGCCTCTTCATGAGGGACCGTCAACGTCCCCGGGGAGGGCCAGCACTTCGAACAAAGTCTCGGCATCGGAGGTGGAGGTCTGGGGGGAGGGAGGAGAAGTAGCAGCTACGGCGGAGGAGGAGGCGGAGGTGGAGACAGCGGCCAGAAAGGAAGGACGGGGATGGGAGCGGAGGAGGCTCCAGAGGACATCGGCGATAATGAGGAGGAGGATGAGGATCAATGCTGCAGGATTGTCGGTGAAACCGATCGCGATGCGATCCCGTGCCTCCGACCCGCCCCCTGAGTTCCATTTCGCAGGCGACGAATATTAATAATAACAATAAGAGTAATCGTAATAACAATATTAATGCCAATAAAAAAGGAGAGGGCGGAGACGATGCGACGCCTATGCGCTGAGCTTGCGCCTGCTTCCCGCACTGTGCGCCCGAAGCTGCTGGCGGGACCGCGGACGGGGGAGTCCTTCTGGGCGTTGACGACGCGACACGACACAAAGGTGCCTTTCCCCGTGTCCAGCTCGAAGTACGCCCAGACTGTAGGGAGGAGTATTTGGGTGGGCTCGTGGCCCCCGGGACCTCCCACTGCCTGCAGCCTGGGATTGACGCCGCCCTCGAGGCCCAGGAAGAGAGAACCACACACATCGAGGATGCATTTGCAGCGGAATTGAAGCCCAGCGCGCTCCAGCCCATGTTTAAGGAACCCGACCGAGAGCATAATGTGTTCACACTATTGCCACGCATGGATAAGAACCAACACCGACGGCCACGCCCCAGCAGGGGAATAATTCCGCGTACACCTGGTACAGAGCACCCAGACAAACTCGCCTCGCTGAAGCACAGCTCATATTCTTCCACTAAGGTGCACACCGAGAACACTGGGTTGAATGCTGAGGAATAGACCAGCCCCACAACAGTACGCAAGCGTCGCGGCACTACGCGCGACCGAGGACGGCCTGGTCGATTTCACAGTTTGATTGCTTGCGCCGTCGGGAAGAGCAGCACGGCATGGGTCGAGATGCTCGCGCGGTAAACCCGACGTCCCCCGAGCGCCACGAGGAGGCGAAGGCGGCCTGGGCGAGCGAACGCCGTGCCAACAGAAAGTGCCTGCGGGGTGTTGCCTGAGCCGATGCTTGAGCCAAAGCGGCTTGAGCAAACATGGCTTGCGCATGGCTGCAGGAGGGTTGGGGCGAAGGAGGATTACCAGGATTACCGCCATCGCAGGTGCGATACTATATCGAGCATGCGACGCCCCCTCTGACCTTGAAGACGTACAGGACGACACGGTCTACGAAACGCCCGAACACGAGGAGCAATTTCATGAACATTGCATGCCACCGCTGTGAAAACCGAAGCCCCCACTGATAGCCATGCAACCCGCCGCCGAACGATAGGTATATGACATATCATGACCAACCAGCCATGGGGCGAAGGAGGAAGGAGGGAGGGCAAATGAGGATGGAGACAGAGAGGAGGAGGAGGAGGGAGCAGGAGGAGGAGGCGGAGGATGAGGAGGAGGAGGAGGAGGAGGAGGAGGAGGAGGAGGAGGATCAGGAGGAGGAGGAGGAGGAGGAGAAGCAGGAGGAGGAGGAGAAGGAGGAGGAGGAGGATGGAGGCATGAGAACGATGCCTCGTTGTCCTCTTCCCTCGGCGGAGATCTCCAGAGGTCCTCGACGGACCACGGAGGGCCTCGATGATCTCTCAAGGCCTTGGTAGCCCCCAGCTGGCGCGAAAGGCGTCCACAAACCGATGTTCCCAAAACAGTGCTTGCACTTAGAGGTCTTACCTGTTACTGAAGGAACTGGGCCGATGTGGCGGTCTGGCGGCCTTGTAGCAGTCGCCGCTCCGTCGCCGCTCGTCGTCTGGACCAGTGTGGCGATCTGGCGGCCATGTTGTCGCCGTCGACGCCCCATCGCCGCCTCGTCGCCGCCCGTCGTCTGGGCCTGTGTTGCGATCTGGCGGCTATGTTGTCGCTGTCGCCCCCCCGTGGCCGCCTCGGACACCACATCTTTCGCAACACTGATTCAAAATATATCGCTCGCGCGCTCTCTTGCAAATTCTTAAGAAAAAACGATCGGTCTTTCATCATTTTCATAATTTGCTACCAAACGAGCTTCGCGCAGGCGCATGTCGAAATCGTTCGAACGTCCTTGCGCGCGTGCCGTCGCGATAATTCTTTTTGAGAAAAGAAACGAGACGAAGTGCACGCCCGCGCGTTGTCGCACGCGCATGCAGAAATCCGTCAACAACCTCGGTTCCGCAGCGAATTCAAAACCGAGTGTCCAAACGACATATACGTACACATGGTTTCGCAATGACCTTACACAACAATGGGTGCGCTCGCGCTCTTGCAGAATCTGGAGGCAACTATCGGTTCTTCAACATTGCCATCTGCCAAACGGGCCTCTCGCGCCGCATGCCGAAATCATTCGTTCGCCCTTGCGCCCGTGTTGGGGGGGCGCGATCCGTGTCACATGAAACCATGCGGGCCACTCGCGCGTCGGCCGCGCGCGCATGTCGAATTCTTTCCAACACCTCCATCACCGACGCGAAAACGCCGTCATCGTCGTCGGCGTGATCAGCATCGGCGCCCGCACTGGCCGCGCCGTCGTCGTTGCCGACATCGTCACCAGCATCGCTACTGTTATCATCGTGTCTACCGTTGTCGACGTTGCCATGATGCCGCGCCCGCCTAAGTTACCGGCTCGCACTGCCAGCGGTCAGCGCCACCGCGGCCGCGTCGGTCGCGCCAAACTAGCTGGCCGCTGCGCGCGCGTGCTTGACTTGGCGCGGCCGCAGAGATGGACCAACCAACGTCAAGCACTCATCGCAACCGCCACCACATGGGTTGCGCGAGCCAACTTGCGGGTGGGTGGGTGGGATGATTGTGCGAGCAGTTGGGTAGACAATTCAGCGCGAACATCAATTCATTGCACCACACACACATATATATATATATATATATATATATATATATTGCACGACATCGATTGCGCCACCTCCATGTCCCCATGTTGTTTGCACAGCGGAGGTTCCACCATATAGGTTTTACAACACATGTTGTACCACATATATCGCAACACGTGTATTGCCTTAGTTGAATAGACAACACCAGTTGCACCACATTCGACTGCACCACATCTATCGCACGACACATATTGCTAGCATCGATTTCGCCACATGTGTTGAAACAGTGCATATTGCGCAACAGAGATGGCCCTTTCTACAAACAGAGTAAACTCTACCCCCCCGGACTATCGACATGCCTCCTCGTATTGCAAATCGCGAGTGGTTCTACCCCATCGTATTTATCAGTTCGCTCCATCCCAGCCGGGCCGGTATCGATCCCCCCGTTAAAAATGCTAGACGCTTCGCGTATCCCCACCAGCCCATCCAGAAACGATGCCCAGGAAAGCTGACGGAAGGAAGGAACATGATACGCACATCGTCAACCAGAGCGGGCAATAACGGTGAATTGGGAGATTTGTTGTGGCGAAGGTTGCAAGTGTTATTGCTGGTGCTCTTGCTCCTGCTGGTGTTGCTGCTGCTGTTGCTGCTGCTGGTGCTGATGCTGCTGGTGCTGCTGGTGGTGCTGGTTCTCGGATGATGCGTAGGCCGATAAGGAGGAAGAGGAGGAGGAGGAGGAGGAGGAGGAAGAGGAGGAGGAGGAGGAGGAGGAGGAGGATGAGGAGGAGGAGGAGAAACACGACAAGGAAAAGGAGGAGGAAACATGACGAACATGTGATCCTTTTAGGATGTCTTCCGGGAATTGTTTTGTTGGAAACCCCTTTGGGCGCCTCTTCGGGGTCTCTTGGAGGTCTCCGGAATGCCTCTCGGAGCCCCTTGGGCGGTTTTTTGGAGGCTTCTTGGGACGTCTTGGGGGTCTCTTGGCGGTCCTGAGGGAGTCTTGGGCGTCTTGGGTGCCTCGGGGAGGCCTCTTGGGGCCGCTTGGGGTCCTTTTTGGGGACTCTTGGGGGCCTCTTGGGGCCATCTTTGGGCTATCTTGGGGCGATTTTGGGGCCTCTTGGGGCCTCCTGGGGCCATCTTAGAGGACATAGATCAAAGAAGGGGGGTCCCCAATTACGGTCCCCCCTTCAGGAGACCAGAGTGGGGCCCAAACCCTGGTAAAACCAATGATGTTGGCTTCCTCGCCGAGGCCGTTTTGGACGCTCCAACGCGTCGCGAAGCCCCCCGTCCAGGTCCAGAGGGAAGCGGGTATGGGGGAGAGATTAACCCCTCCCCGAAGGGGAAGTAGGAGGGGCAACAAAGGAAACACCCAATGCTCGCGCGCAATCGTTCATGAAAATCATAAGTCTCCAAGAGCCCTTGCAAAACATGTGGCGAAGCGCACACGCGCGCGTCGTCGCACGCGCATGTCATATATATATATATATACATATATATACATATATATATATATATATGTATATGTGTATATATACATATGTGTATATATATGTATATATATACAACAGAGCGTCCAGGCAAAATGTAAACACATATGGTTTCGCAACGCGGACATTCAAGCCAAGCTTGCGCGCGCTTTCTTGTGAATTCTTAAGAAGCCCAAAAGTTTTCATCATGTTCGTAACATTCTACCAGACGGGCTTCGCGCGCGCATTTCGAAATCGTTCGAACGCCCTTGCGCGCGTGCCGTCGCGAAAACTCTTTGCAAACATGTGACGGATTGCGTGCGCGCGTCGTCGCGCGCCCATGCCTGAATCCGTCAACAACCCTCGGTTTTGTAGCACTGTCATAACCGATTGTCCATTCACACATACAAAACACATGGTTTCGCAACATCAGCTTTCAAACAGCATGCCTGGAATTCTGCCACATGGGCCTCTCGCGCCGCATGCCCACATCATTCGCACGCCCTTGCGCGCGCGTGCTGGGGGGGGGGGGGGGGCACGGTCCGTGTCAAACAAAACAGGCGCGAGCCACTCTCGCGCGTCGGCCGCGCTCGCATGTCGAACCCTTTTCCAAAACCTTATCACCGACGCGAGGACGCCGTCATCGTCATCGGCGTGATCATCATCAGCGCCCGCACTAGCCGCGCTTTCGTCGTATTCGACATCATCACCAGCATCGCTACTATCATCATCGTGTCTACCGTTGTCGGCGTTGCCATGATACCGCGCCCGCCCAAGTCGCCGATTCGCACTGAAGTGCCCGCTGGGATGTGCCCAGCGGTCACCGCCACCGCGGCCGCGTCGGTCGCGCCCATTTAGTTGGCCGCTGCGCGCGCGTGCTTGGGTCGGCGCGGCCGCAGAAACGGACCAGCAAACGTCAAGCACTCCTCGCAAGCGCCGCCGCATGGGTTCTGCAAACCAAGTTGTGTGTGGGTGGGTGGGATGGTTGCGCGAGCAATGGAGGTGGTCAAGCGCGGTGCAGGATCGCCAATTTCCCTTCTACAAGAACCATAGACTCTACCCCCCCCGGCGTTATCACCCCCCCGCGGCCTATGTGAATCCCATATGATTCTGACCACATGCCCATCCAAAATGTGAAATCTCGACGTCCCAGGCCAGCCGGGTTCCCCCCCCTGAGGTTCCCTAGTGAAAAACACTAAACGGTGACATTTTTGGTTCTAGCAAAGCATTTTTTCACAAATCCTTCGCGAAATTGGGACGAAGTGCGCACGCGCGCGTCGTCGCGCGCGCATGCCGAAGTCGTTCAAAAACTTTCTAGGTGTCGGACGGATTTCGCAATCGAGTTCCCAGAAAACATGCACAAACGCAGGGTTTCGCAACATTGATTTGCAAAAAAAACGCGCTAACTCTTGCGACATCTCAAGAAAACCATGGGTTTTTAAATATTTTGACAAGTTGCTACCAAACGGGCTTCGCGCGAACGCGCGTGCCGAAATCTGTCGAACGCCTTTGCGCGCGTGCCGTCGCGAGAGTCCTCTGCAACAAATGGGACGAAGTGCAGACGCGCGCGTCGTCGCGCGCGTATGCCGACATCCTTCAACACCCATCGGTTTCGGAAGGATTTCAAAATCGTGTGTCCAAAAAACCTACAGCAGCACGGTTTCGCACCACGGATTTTCAACAAAAGCGTGCGCGCGCGCTCTTGCGTCGTCGTCGTCGTCGTCGTCGTCGTCGTCGTCGTCGCCGTCCTCCCTCCTCCCACGTCGTCGTCGTCGTCGTCGTCGCCTACGTCGTCTTCTGTCTGTCCTCGTGTTCGTCGTCGTCGTCCTCTTTGGCGTCGTGGTCGTTTCCGTCGTCGTTGTCGCCGTGGTCGTCCTTCCTCCGCCTCCCTCGTCGTCGTCGCCGTCCGTCGTCGGCGTCTCGTCGTCGTCCCTCCTATTTCGTCGCCGTCGTCGTCGTCGTCGTTGTCGTCGTCGTCGTCGTTTTCCCTCCTCCCTCGTTGTCGTCGTCGTCGTCGTCGCCGTCCTTCCTCGTTCTTCGTCGTTCGCGTCGTTCGCGTCGTTCGCGTCGTCGCCGTCCTCCCTCCTCCCTCGTCGTTGTCGTCGTTTTTTGTCGTTGTCGCCGTCGTCGTCCTCCCTCCTCCCTCGTCGTCGTCTTCGTTGGTGTCGTCGTCGTCGTCTTCGTCGTCGTCGTCGTCTGCGTCGTCGTCGACGTCGTCGTCGTCGTCGTCGCCGTCGTCGTCGTCGTCGTCGTCGTCGTCGTCGTCGGCGTCGTTGACGTCGTCGTCGTCGTCGGTGTCGTCGTTGTCGTTGTCGTCGGCGTCGTCATCGTCGTCGTCGTTGTCATCGTCGTCGCCGTCGTCGTCGTCGTCGTGGGCGTCGCCGTCGTCGTCGTCGCCGTCGTCGTCGTCGTCGTCGTCGTCGTCGTCGTCGTCGTTGTCGGCGTCGTCGAAGTCGTTGGAGACGTTGTCGGTGTCGTCGTAGTCGTTGTCGGCGGCGTCGTCGTCGTCGTTGTCGCTGTCGTCGTCGGCGTCGCTGTCGTTACCAAGTGCCATTTGGTACCCACCGTCACGGTCTTAAGAGATTTTGCAAGCCAAGTTGCGGGTGGGTGGGTGGGATGTTTGCGCGAGCAGTGGAGTGGACAACTCATTGCGAACAGAAATTAATTCTCCTTTCTAA